ATATATATACATATATAATATGTATTTATGTATTTTATATATATATGACTTTTATATTAGTCGATGATCAAATGTTTCATCATTAGGCTCATTTTTTAAATTAAGGGCTCATAATAAGTCGGGCCGATTACGCGCGGATTTTTTTAGTCAGTGTTTACCGTCGCGGTACGACCCTTTCATGCCTTACTTGCACTTAGTTTTTTCGTATGAATGTGATTATTCCATATAAATGCAACGAATACATGGTCATTATCCTGTGTCTCACAAATAAGTCCCTACAAGAGACTCTACGTGTTACTCCGGCAAGTATCCTCATAGTATAGAATGGTACCATACGACATTATGGGGTGGAAATATGCGAAATATGTTTGTCCTACTATGGAATCTGTAACGACAAGTTTTAATTTTTTTAGTGTATAAGTCGCACTAGTTAGTCTACCACACATAGAATTTATATGACGCTTCCACGTTAAATTTTCATCCAGAATGAATCATAAGAACTTACTGTGGTCAGTTATGGGCATTGGACTATCTAAACACGTTGGCCTCGGGATTGATCTACCAGAGAATGAGACCATTGGAAGTAAACCATTTCATCAGACTCATATACTCATACATTTATAGACTCATTTATTTCATAGACTCATACATTTCCTGCTTTTATATTGAGTTCGTCGTAAGTTCGGCCGCAAACAATTACAGTGGTATCATCAGCGAACAAAACCAATAAGCCATCAGTGATATGGGACGGTAGGTCATTAATAAATGTCAGGAAGAAGGTATTTCCTAGTGAAGTCAATAAAAGTAAAATTATTAATAATCTCAGTACAGAGTATTAAAAAAACCGACCTCAAAAGTACGTGGAATTACGTCTATTTGCTAAGTTTTATTAAAATATCCCCCAGTTCGCCACTATACAGGACTTGACACTGGAGATAATAAAAATCGGTTCTCACTACTCAAAGTATATTAAGACAAAAACGCCTAGAATTGGAGAAATAGCAAAATCAACCATAAAAGTAATTGCTCCTAAATTAAAATTAGGCGCTATTTATAAAAATGAATCTTCCTGCGTGAACAGCCACCCGTTCGAGGTGGATGATTTTCTTGAAAATTAAATGGGACCACTATGGAAGTACCCCCTTTCCAACAAAAAAATAATCATGAAAATCGGTTCACAAATACCGGAGTTATCGCGTAACATACATACAAAAAAAAGAACATACAGTCGAATTGAGAACCTTTTCCTTTTTTGAAGTCGGTTAAAAACAACAACTTTTTGTTGGCATAAACCCGCTCAAAAACACACGTGCAGTCTGCCCGTCGCAAAGCCTGAAAGGCGTCTGAGCTTAGTACTGCGCAGAGCTAGCGAGTGGAAAGAAATGATTTTTTATCAAATAATAACACTTAACTTAATTATGAACTATATAAATAAAAAAAAAGTGAACAATATATTCTATGCGAAATTAAATTATCTATTTTTTCGTGCAAAATTTATAAACAACGGATGTTTGCATGTAAAGAGAAATTGCTTTTTATTGAATTTGAAGGCGTAACTTGAAATTTTATTTCGTAGAAATGTGCTTAATAAATTATAATTTTGCTCAATGCAATCAATTATTTAAGGACTATTAGCAATCATATATTTTTTGTGATTGGACTATTATTATTATCAAATTTATCAATTTGGCACCTCTTCCAGCATTAAAAAATAAAACTCTTCATCCTCTCATGCCATTCCCATTCAACTTTGTGTAAGTCATGATACGAATTTAAGAAATTCAGTTTTACCACGTCAAGTGAATTACATGGAATTTGGCTGGCTGCTTATAAGTTCATAGTAGCCCCCCTGGCCGCTGCCTGCCTGCCGTCAGTCACTGAGCCTACGCCGCGACACGGTCATTACAACTGGTGCGCATTGATGTTACAAATTGTAACACAGGTGCTCTCACTCACTACTGTAATGTCATAAATTGTATCATTACAGGCTGCGTTCTGTAATGCTCGGTTCTCTTCATTCACTGATATAATGCTCGAATTTGACCTGTTACATCACAGGCGAATACTCCCAGTGAGAAGGCGCCCTTAGGCTGCCTTTTCACCAGAGATGTGCGACGTAGCGAGGCGGTGTGCGGGGAAAAAGTCTACCGATAGGATTACTTCATTTTCCTAGCCTCGCTTAGCGCTGCTCCTGTGGAAAAGGGTTATCGTAGCTAACTTTTTGTACATACAAAATAGTGAGAGATGTGTGCGAGGGATGCGGGCGAGGAATGTGTGCAAAACGGTGTAGGAAAGTAAAGCTACTGAAACTATGACACTAACTGATTCCACCACACCGTGCCCCGCCCGCGCATATCTGACAAAAGCCCATAACACATCCTCGCACCGCCTCTCTACTTCGCACTTCTTTGGTGGAAAGGCAGCCTTATGTCGGTTGTGTAACATAACATAGTATGAACGTACCTATAATTCATCTATGGTATGAGCTAATTCGAATAAGAGTCAAAAAACAGGTCGCACGTCTTCCAGAGAATTCTCGTGCGGCAATTAGTATCGTACGTATCTAGTTTATACGTTACACAATTAACAAAAGTTCAAAGCTATGAACAATTTCGGTACAAAAAACTGTTTCCATTCCATTTCGCGGCGATATAAATTGAGCCTAAATATATATTTTACACTTTTCATGCTCTAAAAGTACGTCAATATAGCCTTACGTAGCGGGAGTAAAGTGCATCCTATAATCCCTAATGTAAAAAGTACCATTAAAGTACCAATTTTTTTAATTTACTTCGAATGAACAAACTTAAACAAGCAGGTAGTACACTCGGTTTTAGTTCCGTGCCTTTTCCGCATAGACGCTGGCGCCATACTATTTTCCCGCATTTGCGTTTGTTGTGTGGTACTCTATCTGTGTCTTGGGGAGAAAAAAACAGCGAAAACTTCAGAATTTTATTTTTAACAAGACTTGGCTTGATGGATTATGTCGCTCTTGCGCAAGTCGCGCCTTATCGTGCTAGGCCTACAGAACTTAGAGGATTGAACAAAAAAGCGCGGTAAGCTTCACTGTCAAGGCATCTTGACTTGTTCTTCTTCTTTTAAATGTTATGGCCCTATCGAAATAATCAATGCTTTTGCCAATGTCAAGTAAAAATAACTATGTACGGTAGTTTAGTATTATTATAAAAATTATACAAAAAAAATGGCGATTTCGCCAATGTCCTGTCTTCATAAGTTTTGACTTGTTTATTAACGGTGATTAACGAGAAAATTTATGTCATTATCTGTCACTATCATAGTATTAAAGGAAAAGGGATAATGTATGAAGATGGAGAGTGAAAAAAGGTTCAGGCGAGGAACTGTGAGATATAAATAAACAAAAAGGTTGATGATGTACTTATCTTTTCAATAAATAAATGTTTTATTTTATTTTCTTTTGCTTTCTAGTGCTTGTATAATATTTGTATAAAAATCATAATTATATAATATAGCCAAACATGTAAAATAGTAATTAACTGACTTGATATGATTTTATAAAAATATACTGATTTATAACATTAAGAAATCTTAAGAAATTAACATTATATACATCTTAAGAGAATTTTAATATCAATTATATTAGTCATCAGCGTCAAAATCAAATGTGCTATCGTCTTGCATATTGTTAATCTGCTGCGGCGCCGCCGTCGCCACTACAATCGACTTCAATGGGCAGCACGCTTCAGTTTCTTTGCATACTCTGCAACAAAAATTAGTTAGGTTATTAATAATAATATATATTGCTAATAAATTATTAATTTATATTAATTATAATAATGTGTCTCTTGTGGTATTTATATATGGTGGAAAGTGTTAAAGAACGTGAAGAAATAAAAAACAATGGAAAAAAAACAAATTTAAATGAAGTCATGGATTCATTTCGTAAATAAGAAGTTTCAAGAAATTAATAATATTTTACAAAATACAATTTGTTACTATTTGTATACAGATGTTCGATCTAAAATAGACTTTTTTCTTTTTGTAATTATGATAGTTTATTAATTTTAAAAGTATAACTGTATTTATATTTGGCTTGAAAACTACCATACCGTATTCTTAGATTTTATTAACCAAAGATTAATGAACGAATTTTCCTTATGTGAAAAAAAATTGCGCCTACAAGAGACTGACAACGAGGCAGTATATTAAATAGATCCAAGCCTGGCTTTTTCGGACGAAACCAACAAAAAAAAAGTAGATTTATTATCTGTGGTGAGATTTGAGGATGGAAAAAAAAAGACTGTCATTCTAGTCTGTGCTCTACGTCGCTCTGCGTTCGCTCTGTAATTGAATTGTTTTTCTGTAAAATAATAATATTTTAAATAAATCTGTTTAATAATGGAAGACACGGATTCTTCGAACGACGTGGTGACTCTTGACAAGTCGGGTGAAGACATTGGAGGTATGAAAATGTCCGGCAATACATTATGTCTGCCTATTTAGTTACTTGTTTTTCCTCATAATAATTGTTACAAGTCCACGGATAGTAATTTTATTTAAAGCTTTTTATCATCGATTTTTTAAATTTAGGGTTATTTATTGCCTAATTTCGACGGCCAAGAGACGTTCTTGTGGCGGAATGCAGTTATTACCGTAAAAAATGAAATATGGATATTCCAAATAAAAAATTCATGGACAAATTGTCGAGTTCTTAGGTTTTAGCGATTGCTACATATAGGAAATGAAACTATTTTTCCGGATTTAAATCGCAAATGTTTTTTTCAAACAAAGCAACATTTCGAGCCCTTTACAGGTCCCATGCCCAGGCACTGCCATTGCTACACAACAGAAAATTATTATTGTTTATATAATTAACCGACTTCAAAAAAAGGAGGAGGTTCTCAATTCGAATGTGTGTTTTTTTTGTATGTCCTTTGCGCAATAATGCATTTGTGAACCGATTTTGATGATTCTTGTTGGGACGAGGGTACCTCAGATGTGGTCCCATTTAAATTTGAAGAAAATATTCCACCTCTTAAGGGTGGCGAACTAGGGGATGAATTACTTTTGAGGTCGGTTTATTAGTACTCTGTACTGTTTTTTCTTGTCTGCAATTCCATTTGTTTAATATTATTATATACTTATATTCCAGATCAACCAATCATGGGCCTCTTCAAGCGTTTGATCAGTAATGATAGTAAAGAAAATACGGTACTAACAAACTCTCAGATCATTAACATACTCGAAAGAGAATTCAGTGTAAACATAAATGAATTACACGAGCTAGAGCTCGATGTTTATTTGGGTGTTTTGAAAAAATTCTTAAAACACTGGCCTCTATGGGACGAGTTCGACAAAGTCGTTAACGAATTAAAATCCAAAGGTGATAATGATGACATTAATAAGCTATTAGAAACAAAGTACATAGACTTAAAGACCTATCTCAAGGCTATGTTAGACTTGGCCAAACCAATGGCTAAAGAGGCACTGAACAGTATAAATGAGAAGAAGAAAACTAAGGACGTGATTATGGAAATTCATTGCTCAAGATCTCAATTAAACAGATTATTCTACAAAAGACCAATCTCTGAATTGAATTACACAATATTGAATACTACTGGCATTACACCGTCAAAAATAACTGTAGGAGTGTTACCATTGCAAGCAATTTTGAACTGGTGGTGCATTGAAATACGGTTCGACTTTAAAAATTTCATATTTTTACGTAAAACTAAACACATTTTGAAACATTTGTTAGTTAATATGAAATTAGGAAAGCCAAAAATCGATAAAATTCCATTGGATTTAAATTTTCACATGAATAAAAGAAGCATATATAATTCTCAAGTAGCGAAAGATGAAATAATTGATACTGTTCATAAGATTAACAATCTAACTGCTGATACATCTATAAAAAACATTATAAATATTGTTTTGGAAATGTTCCTTAGAGACATGCAATTGGCACCAGAAGAATTGACTGTTCCGGCAATTTATAGACGGAAATGGAGTAAATATCCCTATGTGAGGTATTTATATACTGATGTTGTAAGCAATATTGATGACAATGATGATAAATATGATCTACAGTTACAAGAGACAATTGTACCTGAATGTGAATGGTCATTGCGTAAAGTAAAACCGGAAGCGACGGTTCAACAAATTATTCCAGGTCGTTCAACGTACATAGAGGTGGAATGTAAATTGTGTATGTTACGGTTCTCTGGGAACAATATGGATGTGAATTTGGTTAATCATTTTACGACATATCATATGAATGAACCAAATTGGAAATGCATTAACTGTGATGGAGAATTTCCAATGGCTGACTTGTGTCAGAATTGGTGGCATCATAAATGTTAGATAAGAGATTGATAGATGATTAAGAAACCTATAGTCTGTCATTTTTGAAGACAAAGTAATGTGCATTCTTTGGCCGAGTGTCGAACAATCAACAACCCCTGAGGATGGCTCGTAGAGAGGCAAATCATATGTCGGGTATATTTTTGGTGGTGGTGTCTGTGACTGTAGTTGCGCTTGTGCTATTTAGTTATTAACTACCTGAAATAATATTCAACATACTGCGGCTATTTTGCACGATTTAAGTTCGCGGAGTAGCAAATTAATTTACTTCCATTTTTATTATTTACTCAAAGTACTGTTGGGTCATGGAAAAATTTCCATTATGAAAAAATCATATTTTTCAGAAAATTTACACTTTTCTGAATGTTTTTCACATTTGACAGTGACACCTGTCAAAAATTGAAGACATTAAACTCAATGAGAATTTGTGAAGATTAGTTAAGCAGGGTTTAGAAAATTACATTTGACAATGTCAATAATATTCATGAAACTTTAAAAGATGTGTCTAAATGTAGAACATGTTATGAGTCTCTGAATTATTTTTTTCCAATTTTTCAGAATTTTTCCGAAAAATTATTACTCAGTATTTGAAATTTTTCGGAAAATTATCCAACATTGTGAGGGAGTAAAATTTGCAGGGTTGCCAGTTTTCATAAAATTTTATATAGTCATGTAGTTGTTGTCGACAGTTCTATCGATAAATTGTGAAAGAAGGTAACATTTTGCCAAAAATGTCTGAATTGTGAATGTTACAACTTTCTATTATTTACTAATTGCGTTATTACCTTCATTATACTTATTTTGACAGATGTCCTAGAAGTATCGAAATAAATTTTTATTCATAAATAATTATTGAAAACTTTTCAATATGTCTCGTATTTCTAATAGGCAGGCAGACTGCACTCACTACAACTCGCACACACTCAAGTGTCATTCATTTTATTCCATTTTCAAAAAAGGCAGATTTGTTTAAATTAGACATTGTGCTTGATTTCAAGCGCATTTTGCGTCCTCAATCTGCTATCCCTTGGTTTGCACGATTATATATTATTTTTAAGTATGTCAAATTAACTAATTTAATTTAAGAACAGAATTGACTGTTGTTTAATGTTATTTTTGTAATGACAACTGTATCTAGTTATTTACTTAGTCGCTAGCTAGGGCTAGTGTTCGAGAAATGTTGATTAGGGCTTGCTTATTCAAAATATCGACGACCCCGGTAGCTGAACAGCTTAGGGCGCCCTCAAGGTAGACGCTTATAAAAGCGCCACAGTGGCGCCACTGCAGCTCGTGAAAAACTACTACTAATTTTCATACAATAGCCCCTTTTACATAGTCACTCTATCGCGCGTGATTTGGAGCGTACAGGTTTGCGCGTGCACGCGCAATCGTGCCCGATTACTTGTTTCAATTTTTTTAAGCTAACGTTCTTTCGCGCGCGAGTGCTCGTGTTCGTTTTTGTTACAACGGAAAGAGCGTCCGTGTAAAGGCTAATAGCGTTGGATAGACCGCGTGAAACTGGCGCGTGTTGGAGAGCGCGCGACTGATGAGGGCAATCGCGCGCCGTTGCCTTTTCCCTTCCAAAGTCTTTACACGCGCGCTCAAACGCACGATTTCTGTATCACGCGCGACAGAGTGTCTGTGTAAAGGGGGCCATAGAACCATAGATTGACATATGTGAAAATAAAAATAAAATTATTAAAGGCAATTAATAAAGATGTTTAATTATTTACAAATTTTGAAACGATTTTTGTGAGATCGATTCGAGAGCATACAATCCGTGGATCGATTCAGAGGTATATGATCTATTACGATTCAGAAAATCGATTCAAAGCAAAAAAATTGTGAACCCCTACTTTGAACCTCATCCTGCAAAACAACACCTGACTTAGGTATAATGTTACCGTATGAAAACAAACTAATATAATTATGTGGCTAAAATGACGCATGAGCAGCTCTGTTCGGTTGTGATAATTACATATATCATCGCTTAGATTACATATAGGAAATTTTTCACAAAAAGCCTCAAGGGCGCGATCAAATTAGCCGCTGTTAGAAGCGCTGCAGCCGTGCGACTCACGCTGCTGAAATGCGACCAAATTTTTAGTGATGATTTATCTTATTATTTGTTTTATCTTTCGACTCAGTTACGCGATGGATTCTGACGAAGAAACATTACTTTTTACCTAGTTCTTGGGGCACACACTTCACATATTTATAAATTGTCAATAAATTTAAGACAAATTTTCTAGAATTCTCGCGCATGCTCGAGATTGCTCGCGCATTCACGAGAATTTCGTATCTGCCGTCGGCGATGCCTGCCGACTCACGCAAAGGCAGGCGCAGTGTGACGTCAAACGTCGACTGCTCGAACCATAGATTTAGTATATAGATACTAAATCTATGGCTCGAACATTCCAACCACCGCACAGCGAGACGAAATGGACGCTTCCGTTCCATTTAATAGAGCCTTAGAAATTGATCGTAAGATAACGTTTTGCATCTTCCGTGTGATCAAGATATCGAGTATATAACCAGAAATAGAGACGAAATTAGGGCCATACATTCCTGGTAACACGTCAATGATACATCTTTTAAATATCATCTCTCGTTTGCGCTGAAATTACAAATTAGAAAGCTGAAATAGTACAGCGCCAAAAACTGACCTTGTGTACGTCTCCGTATATTCCAAAAATATTCTGTATTTATTGTAATAAAAATAATATCTCTAATAATGGCGTGATGTTCCATTCGGTGGTATGGAGAAAAAGCAAAACATCTAATTATAAAATAAACGAAATCAAATTTCATCGGTAATGAAATATGAAATGTGTATAATTTTGCAATTTTCGTCCATTATAGCAAAGCTCAAGTTAACTGGTCGATTTGAAGTGAAACAATTGACGATACCCGTCAATTGTTTCGAATTCGGGCTGGCCAATCGGAGCGCAGTTGTCACTGTAATGATGTGGCAGAATAGTTTTCAAACAAATTGAATGACATTTCGTCTCTATTTCTGGAAATATACTCGATGGATCAAGATATTGGAATTGCTTGCATAGCAGCAGTTTGCATAGCAGATGCAGAATGTTATCTTACGAGTTGTCAGAATGGTTTTATAAATGAGAAGTTCGTTATTTACAGTGAGCTTGCTGTTTCATACCAATGGATAAGATAACAATACATACATTTTAATTATATTACGCGGCAACGTAAATTGGACATAAGAAAAATTTGTATACGTTTATGAATGATTCGTTTCGTGAAGTTGTGGTTGTCTATGTGTGTGTGTGTGTGTCCATGGCGACCGCGACTAAAATGAGATTAACTGCTATATTCGCATAGCATGCTAAATGCTAAATTCTTATAGCGCGCTATTTCAAGTGCTAAAATTATCATTTTTTAGCAGCTCAAGGTCGCGTGATAATGTAACGAATGGAAAGAAACGTGAAATAGTTGAAGTGTATAGCATCTATTGTCTATAGTTTACAGTTTTTTATGATTAGTTACGACCGATTTCATTTGTTTTATAACTATTACATAATATGGTGGTAACAGGTTATAGACGATAAATCAATGAGCTTCCCTTCATATTTTAACAACTTACTATTTACAAATTGCATAAAAATTTGACACTGGTTATTTACAGTAAATTACACTCATATTAATTAATAATAAAGCAACACTCGTACTTTTATATACAAATATTACAACGACTTATTAATTAAACAAACGCTAAAGTAACTAAATAAATTCAAGTACTTAATTATATCATAATTTAAATCGTTTCACCAGACGAAAGTTTGCTAACGTTCCACCATTCGCTCAAAATCGTATTAAAACGTAACCAAAATTATAATTTATAAAATAACTACAATTATAATACTTGCTAAGTGCTAAAATAGCATTAGCGCTTAGCGTACTAAAACGATAAACCAATCAGCTATTTCGCGTTTCGCACCAAACGATAAATGCTACAATTTTCACATAGAATATAGTGCCATCTATGAAATATTAAGGGAGATAACTCAGGACGAAGAAGGATTTTGTTTGTTAGCTGCGTAAGTAAAGCACGGATAGATTGATGATGGTATGGCATTTAAATATTGTAAAATTGTGTCGCTAGATGGCATTTGGTTTAATTTTCTTAACGTACTCCAATCCAAAGTGAAAAAGAGATCATTATAATTTTGGCACCTTTATGTCTTTCAAATTATAATTGCTATAATATTTTTTTAATTTAACGTTGTAATTTGAGCTATATATTATATTAACCATCTCTAACCGCGACACAGGGTTTCCATACATACTATGACACTATGTTAGTTGTCAGATACACTACAGATAAATACTATGTTAGTTGTCAAGTGCGATTTGTGCTGGAAGCGATACGCCACAGAAATCCAACTGCCTCAAGCTTAATAGCTAGGCTGACTGGAATTAACCCATTTGCGGACAAAATAATTGGGATTACTTCATATGGAGGCCATTATTATTATGAATGTAGGTAAAGTAATTTTTTTACATAGCGTTCTGAAGCTTATGGTAATAATATTAAGGACTTACTTTCTGTAGCCTCTCGGTGCGTATAACGTGGAGTCGATTGCTGGTGTTCCGTAGTCGCAAGCCTGCCGTTCAACGCACTGACCGGGCGCACCGCGTCCTGTTGTACAGTTGACAACTGGGGCAGGCGTAACTGGCAGCGGCGGTTCTACACGAACAATATAATAATCTCAATACGGAGTACTAAAAAACCCGATCTCTAAAAGTTCGTGGAATGACATCTACTTGCCAAGTAATATTGAAATCGGTTACCGGAAAGTGCGCGAAACCGGACTCACCTCCTAGTTTGTACCCTTATAGCTGAATATTTAAGCTATGATGAAACCGTGTTAGACATGCGCAAAACAATGCTTCGAAGAGTAAGGCAATATCACATTACCAGTGGTCGGAATTGAGGGAGCTCATTTACCTAAAGTATGGACATACCCATTTTGTCATTAAAAATTTCATTTTTTTACTGTTTATTTTCTAAACATTCCAGTAATTTCCATTTTCTATTCCATTACCGGACTTTCACCCGAAATTCAGCTGAGTATTTTTAGCTTTTTCCGTTTATTTCAATCAGAGATCGATATTTTACCATAAAGAGCTTCTCTACAATAAAATTATAATCAACTGAAAATACTCCACGGAATTTATGCAATTGTGGTGCTGTACACTTACCTGTGGCATTTTGCTGTTGGGGTTCAACCACATAACCGGTGTTCGTTGTGACCACTTCTTCTGTTTCTTGCATCTGAATTGTCAGACCACATGACAGAAGTAAAATGCAGATAGATCTAAAAGAGAAAGAACATTTCAAGAACTGTCACGTGACATCACCAAAAAAGAAAACTCGAGGCCTGTTCATCTTATTCCTGCCCCCAAGCAGTAATATTCACATTACTGCGTTTTTTTATATCATGTGACGGGACGAACAAGTCGTGCGCCTGATGGTAAGCGACACGCCTGTCCATAACAGTTGCAGTGTCACTTAGCTCTTTAAATCGCAAAGATCTGAGGGGCACCTGCCACTGCACCATATCACTCTGAGATATAAGTTGGCAAGTCCCATCTGAATTAATGAAAATCAAGTGAGACTGGCATACCGAGAGATGTGTGGAATTATTTAGGCACAGGTACAGCAATCAGAAAAATCAGGTTAGGTGGGCTAACATGTTATCTGCTGAGTACAAAATGGAGTGTGGAGTAAGACACGGGGGGATTACTTCACCGAAGCTATTTAACCTGTACGTTAACGAGCTTATAGGCGGGCTCAGCAGCATGCATGCAGTATGATACGTAGGAAGCACTTGTATAAATAATTTAAGCTATGACATGGTGCTGTTTAGCCCGTCGGTCAGTGCGTCGACGCAGACGCTTGAGACTTGTGAGGAGTATACCATGGCGCATGGATTAGAATAGGGTAGCCTGGTTTAAGACGACGCACTTAAGTTTTGAGACCGTGTAGAATGAAAACAAAAAGTGTTAGAAAATCAGCTATTGTTTTATTTTATAGTTTCCTTATCTGACTCGTAAGAGTCTATACTAACTACTAATACTAACATGAAAAGTAGTTATAATTAATAGTGTGGTTGTAATTCATAAAAAAATGCAAAATGGGATTTGCGTACTCTTACACTGTACTATGGGTAAGAGTACGCATGTGCGTCGGCAAGAGTACGCAACATCTTTTTTGATAGGACTTCGTTTATCGGTTGCACGAATCGCCTTTTTGGAAATGTGATTTTTTTAGTCATGTATAGGTATGCATGGGTTTTTGCTCATGGAGAGCTGAAAAGAGTCTACTTGTGACACGGACGTACCTCAGAGTGGTCGTGTTGCTTCAGGCGCAGCCGATATTTCAGACACATTCTGAGCACATGCCTCAGGTCTGTTAAACCTTTAAAAATACTAGACTCTAGCTAAAGGTTTCAATTGATGTATAACGAGGCATAGCGATAGAAATTTCAGTCAGAAGTACACTATTGTAACAAAAATAGTATGAGACTACGCGCGTGCTCTTGCAACACTCGGCCATTTCAGAATAAAACCCTTTGGTCCACTATTACTAACCCCATATGTTGCAAGTGATCAGAATTGATTGCAGTTTGACCTCTACACGAGTTTTTGGGCGATTTCATACAAAGTCAGTTTTAAAAATGTTTTAGTTTAGTCTCAGTAACAATTTGAAAATTCCAAAAAGTTTTATGCAAATACATCAAAATGTTCAGACTTAGGTAGTTTCTTGGTTTTCTATAATTTTTGGTAATTTTTCCGTACAACAATCTCCACTTCTTAGCACTACAAAATGACACTGAACTTAGTAGCGTATTGTAAATAACTTCTCGGCAAGCTACATAGCGTACTCTAATCGGATGCGTCATCTTAGACCAGGCTACCCTACAACCCGAAGAAAGGCGAGGTCATGGTGTTTAAGGCGGGCAAAATTAAACCGTATTATGTTCCTACTATTATGTTCAATAGAGTTCCGTTGAAGGTCACAGATAGAGTATCTTGGTCATATTTTAACAAATGATCTAAACGATGATCTGGATGTTGAAAGGGAGCGCAGGGCGTTGGCGGTTCGGAGTAATATGCTTATAAAATAACGCTTTTTAAATCTTTTTAAAAGTTAATATTTTTATTCGAGCAGCCTGTGGGTTAGGTATACGAAACGAGCCTTTAACGCCCTGCGTGTGCAATATAATAATGCATTTAGAATGCTGATGGGACTGCCAACGTGGTGTAGTGTATTGGGTGTGTTTGCGGTAGCTCACACGGACAGCTTCCAGGCCATCATGCGCAAAAAGATTGTCTCGCTGATGAGTCGCGTGGGACTCAGTACTAACAGCATTCTAAATGCTATTGAGGGAAGTTATTATTGTCCTATCCTGAAAGAAACATTGGATAGTGCAAGTTAAGGGCGGAGCCAAGTTTGAAATATAATTAAGTTGCATTGATTATTACTAACCTTGACATAAGTTATTTTACAAACATACTATGGATATTTTATGGTCCGAAATAAAGAATTATTATTATTAACCTTCAAAACTGGAACACAGTAATGCTGACGTTGCTGGTTGGCGGCAGAAATGGGTATGGTGGCAGTACTTCCCTGGACCAACTCTTCACAAGGAGCTCTACCTATAGCTACTTCTTTTTGTCAACTTTCGATATTGAAGGGTGCTAATGAATTACAGGCACATGGGACTTGTCAACTTATATCTCAGGGTGACGGGCGCAGTGGCAGTGCCCCTCAGATCTTTGCGATTTAAAGCTCTGAGTGGCACTGCAACTGTAATGAGTTTATGTGTCACTTACCACCAGCAGCACGACTTGTTCGTCCTGTCTTTTGTTATTATAAAAAAAATAGGTAGGTAGGTATACACCCACGTTTTCTCTATTAATTTGCACCGTCATCTATGAAGGTACTTAGGTTATATATTAACGTGTTCTTAATTGTATTACGGATAATGTTGTATGTTAGGTTCTTGTCAGCTAAAATATAAGGAAGGAAAACTCTGGTAGTGCCTGCCATTAATGACTTACGTTCGTTATTGTTATAGGTATTCTACTGGACACATAACTCGAGCTACTTTGCATTTTTATTCTTAAAGAGCTAGATAACAAAAATATTGTTATCATATCAATAATATTATTATGGTATTTCCTCTGATGAAAAATCCCAAGCAGACATAAGACTGCAGTACTTAATTAGTACTGCAGTACAATGCTTTAATTTATTCGAATTAACATTAATAAAAATTAAAAATATAATTGAACTAATGGATGATTTATATTGTTAAAATAAAATAATTATGTAGCATTTTAAACGTTCTTTGGAAAATTTTAAAAATAAGCTAATTAATTAACAACTTTTGTAACAATAGTGAAAAATAGGAAAGTTTGCATTAATTTTAAACCTCGCATATGACAAACTTTGAATATCGCGCGGAATTTTTAAGGCATTTTTTCTTTGTGTTCGATTTTTTTATTACTTTGTAACTATATTTTATTATTTTTATTTGTCGTTATGGTTTGACAGATTTTTTATAGTTCAATTGTTTTTCTTTCATCTACCATTTTCTTCGGTATAGTGAGGTGAAAAGTTCTGTGTTTCGCTCGGCAGTAAAGTCTACTGAACCACTCGCTGCTTGCTCGGGTTTAAATACAAGCACTCGCGTCAACCAAGAATTTCGCAGCCTTGCATAACAAATAACTATTATTATATAGGATTATACTTGAAATAGTTATATTGATTAAACTCTACTCCTCATTGGTAAGGCAGATTCCCTTGAGAACAATGAACAAGAAACTCTAGGGATTGCTCTTTGTAAATATTCATTTGAAACTTGAATACATTTATCAATACAATATTTAATTTAAACATCTTAGATCGAGAATGCATGAATGAGGTAAACGGGTCCCTGCCACGGATTTTTGTCATCCAAGAACCTACGCAGACGTATAAATATAAACTTTATTATAAAGTTTTTGTTTCACTATTTTAAACCTAGTACCTAAATGGCAAATTTTGAATATGAACTGGATTCTTATTATAGAAGCGTAGACATTGCCTCTTAAACGTATTTGTGACATAAATGGAGTCAACCTGCGTTTACCTATGTCTGCTGGCAAGCAGTAATGGGTCATTATTGCGTTCCGCTTTGTAGGGTAAGATCTGAAGTGCACTGCCTTTACGCCCGTCACTTTGAGACATAACTTGACAAGTCTCATATGCCTGTAATTTCACCAGTACCCTTTCTCTTCAAAAACATTACTGCTTGGCGGCTGGAATAGGTAAGGTGGCAGTATTTCCCTGGACGAACTCTTTTACAAGGAGCTCTATTGCTACTAAATAATAATAAATTATTATAATAAGGTGAGAAGCCTCGGAGTCTTTAATAGTGTCTTAAATAGTCTTTAGTGATTTCGATACAAAATCGTGAAGTATATTTTAAGCTGTCGTTCTCGACAATTTGTTCCGTTAAACTCTTGGTAGAGGCACAGCAGCTTCCACCCACTCACGACCGCTTTTTTATGTGTTAATGGGGCCTGTGACAGGTTGGTAGATTCCATTTGTTAATAATGACATTTTCTTTGTGACTCGGAGATACATCTTTATTTGGCGAATTTCTCATTATCATGTTTATTTATGATATCAAGTGACAGGTAGTGCGCATGGTGTTAAGCGGCACGCGTACCCGTGACAAAAATAGAAGAATAGGTCCATTTTGATTAATTTTTTTATCCATCATTGGGCATAAAGCTAATAGCTTAAAAAGATAACAAATAATTATAAAAATTCAAAAAGTAATTATAATTAACTAAAACCAAACCGCGTATCAAAATTTCAGTTATGAAATATTGTAAGATATGTAATTTGCTCCTTGTTCCATTTAGTCCAGGGTTTTTTTGGCTTTATGAGGAAATCCGAAATCATATAAGAGATGCAATGAAAACAAATTTAATGAAAACAAATTTGATATAGTAATTTTTTTTTGAGTTATCCATAAAAATGAATAAAATTGAAAATTTTAGTAGAACTCATTGTGAAAGCGTCCAGAGAAGTATTGTCACTTTCTTATTTCCGCCGTCAAGTAGTAATGTAAGCATTATTGCGTTCCGGCTTTGAACGGACCTGGTGTATAGGACTTATCGACGTATGTCTCAAGGTAACGAGTGCAGTGGCAGTGCCCCTCAGATCTTTGCGATTTAAAGCTCTGAGTGGCACTGCAACTGTTACGTACGGGTGTGTAGCGTACCACTAGGTGCACGACTTGTTCGTCCCGTCGTTTCAGATCACAACACAACTTAATACTGATCGACTTAGGGTCACATTCCAGAACTCTACTCAATGCTCAAGTCAGGATTTGAGCAGACTTGAGTATGATTTCAAGCGCTGGAAATACGACCGTAATGGCAAGGACTTGAGTATGATTTTCAGTGCTCACTGCAATACTCAAGTCCTGATTTGAGTATTGAATAGAGTTCTAGAATACGAACCTCAGTTTGTTGTAAGGATCGTGTGAAAAATTTTTTTCACCAAAATTACCTATGGTTTCGGTTTTCCCAATATCGTTGAAAAAATACTGTATAGCAAGGATTACAAGTAAATAGATTATGTATACGGTGCTTCCCGTGAAATTTATGTATAGGTTAAAGTTTATTTACATACATCTAAACAATTTCCTACATGCCCATAATTATGTATTTTTCCTATATGTGTTTAAAAAATAAAAGGGAAAAAATAATTTCATATTTTTCAGTAAGGACTGTATGCTTATTTCTTCCCTGAATGTATAACAATATGAAAATGTGAATTTTTTTCTTAATTTTTTTTTAAATGCATTAACTCTAATTTAACACACTAATAATTTAATCTTTTTCCGTAAGGGCTGTATGTTTTCTCCAGAACTAGGTCACATGAAGTTTGTCTCATTTTGAGTTATACTTAACTGTAAGAAACAAAGAAAATATCTACAAATATCTTTTAATTGTTTCTGGCGATTACTACAACAACAATATTCTGAAAACGGTTTTATTGGCGTGTAGATAATAAAATAGTACGTTCAGAAATGGCATAATCCTGAACTTTACGTATTTTGAATTATAACACTATTGTAAAGCAGTGCGATACAACATATTCTCCTAAGAAACAAAGCAGGAAATAAATATAATAAACAGAACTCACACGTAATAAGCGTCCATGATGAACCACAATCGCAATTGAACTGACAATATTGATGGTTCTCTAACTATTTAAAGTTAATTATAACTACTGCTTTAATGTATCAGGTCTTTATAATTGACCTAATCATTAGTCGAGTATACTCGTAAGTAGTTAACAATATGGATTTATCTATAATTTTATCCTTAATCTCCGTAGTAATGACAGAACGAACAACGCATTTTTTGTCTAAATTGAATCACTTCTTGTATTTATTGGGTGACTCACTGTTGAGTTCGGTTTTTTTTTGCAAGGAGTAATTTTCGGATTAGTTTTTTTCTAATTTCGGTTGCAATTTTTCTTGTTTAGAAGTATTCGAGTAAATTATCGTGAAATATTAAATAATATTTCAGGTTGCCATACCTACTTGAATATAAATAGTCGAGACAACTTCAAATGGTTATGGATGATTTCGTATAACAGTAAAAGTGTTGAACCAATCACTTTGGAAAAATATATGGTAAAATTGACGACATACACTGATTAGTATACGGTGAGAAAAAACACGATTTCTAAAAATTTTCACGTTAGAAACAAAACAAAGTTGTCTCGAAATTTTACATGATAACCACTGTATTGAACAGGTACGTTACATGTACCAATGATTTTGAATGATCAACTGAACTAAATAACTAAAAAAGAAGGGCTGCAATTCCACCAGAGATGTGCGAGGTAGCAAGGCGTGCCAGTGCCGCCGAGTGCGTGGGTGTACCTTTGAGTGCCCGCGGGCTCTCACGGGCACTCCTGGCATGACTCGCGTGTTCTCGCAGGCACTCGCGTGCACTTGATTGCACTCGCACGCACTCAGTGGCACTCGCACGCACGCCTGGCTACTTCGCACGTCTCTGGTGGAATCGCAGCCTAATTGAATCTTGGATGTTACATTACAAGACTAAATAGAACACGTATATACGTTTTTCAAATGGCTTTAATATCGTTTGTAAAAAAATACAGTCTGAAATAAAGCCAATGTCCCTGCCGCTCGAATGGCGCAATAGGAACGATTCAGTACGGGAAAAAATGAGCTAAGGAAGTATCGACTCTTCGGTGGTGGCGCCAGTGATCGGCAAGCACCACTGTTCGACATCTTTTTTAAAATCATTTTAAATAAGGTTTAGACAAATTTTTCTATCATAGTAACGCTTTGCCTATTGGTAAGTGCCAATTACTGGGTGTTCAATAATGGTGAGTGTCGGTTACTGGTCAGTTAATTAATAAATTTTAGGTGTTATTTACTGGAGATTTAGAGGAATTCTAGTTTATATTATTTAAGTAATAATTATAATAGCCTTTTTCTATGAAACATACTACAGCATAATCTTTCTTGAGGATTATATCTGTCAAGTAAACTAATCACTATTGATATTATGTTTTTTTTAAAAAATATTCCATAAACAAATCTAGATTATTGTAGAATGTCATAATCATTAAGGTAATTAAATAATGATGTCATAAATTATACACATTTGTCCTAGAAGTTTATTGTAAAGTCAGCGTCGGCTTTACTTATGGGGCACAGGGCGTGCGGTGCGCATGGGCGTAAGGTCTCGGTGAGCGCTGAACGCCGCTCGCGACTCCTCCTGAACCTGTGTTGCTCTCTGCGCAAGCAGAAATTTTAAACAATCTACACACACTAGGTACAGTAGGTACGGTAGGTTAGTGTTAAGTGTCATTGATGCTCAGGCAACACAGAGGCGGCCGCAAAAACGTACGAGTTCTGAAACGCGCGGCGGTCTCTGTGTAGCCAGAGCATAACAGGCGGAGCGGGCGCAGGTCGGGCACGTGACGAAGCGGGGTGGGTGCGGGCGCGGGTGTTGTGATTAAAGCACTTTAAAAAGTTTGCTTGTTAAAATAAGCACACTTTTTATTTTAAGCGTAAGCGTTGACCAGTTCTATACTCAACAATTAAATTTTTTACAACGTGCCTAAATTTCAAGTACGCCATTTGTGTTTCCTAAACGAATTAATTCGTCAATGTGCATAATAATTTTATAAATAATATTCGTGTTTAAAAAAAAACTTACTTATCTTTAAACCTTTAGTAGTCTACTCTTGCTTTTCACTATAAAACACAACGTTGCAAGCTTTTTTTAACGTAAAAGTTAGTTTTTCTAAACGATGTTTTAAGTTTCAGACTAAAAAGTGTGTGAAAAGCGTCTAAAAAGGCACACTTTTTTAAAAAAGCTACGTTTAAAAAATATATGCAGTTTTTTCCATCTCTAGTTGTTAATATAATACATTGAGTTCTATGCAACCGTCCACACAGAGCGTCAGTGGCGGGGCGCGGTCTGGGAGCGGGACATTAGGCCTCAGCGGGCTTGGACTTTGTATATTTTTACAACTGTAGAGTGTGTCTTAAGAGCTCTCATGCCAAAAAAGTTTTGACGTTGGCTCCGCCCAAATTTGTGAAACAAATTTTTTTTTTTTTCTTCTTTCCATAAAGGAAAAGGCAAAGGTTTTACACCATACAGCCAAGTCTTGGTACATTAACAAATATAAGCATGAAGTTCGCGTGACATGCGACAGGAGATGTTGAATTTTGCGCATTAAAGGTACCAAATTCGTTTTAGCGGAATAACTCTAAAACTAAAGGGATTTAAAAAAATCCGTAGTGACAGTTGTCGATCATGCGTAAATATAATTAATAATCTAATTTTTGTCCTAATAACCTGCAGCATTTCGAGGATAAATCGAAAAAATGTGAAAATTAGAGGCCATTTCGTGATTTTTATCTATCGAGGAAACTTTATTGTTTTATGTTTCTGATTAATGTCTATGCTTGAATATATCGTGTAGTTACTCATACAATATTTTATTTTTAACTTTAAAATGGATATACCCCTCTAAAATCAAATCGAAGATTAGGAATTTTTCCTCTGCTCCCTCTTAATTACGTTTCAAAATGAATTCGACGGAAAAGCTTATATCATTGGTGCAATCATACCCGAGTTTGTTTAATACAAATGATATAATTATAAAATGTGGGACTTTCGCAGGATTAGCGCTAATAAAAGAAGTTCTCCTTCATCACTATCCGACAGTGACATGGTACTTTCTATAAGTGTGTTGTAAACTTAGAGGATGGAAAAAAAGGTTGAAAATGAAATGTGGCGTGACATTTGTGGTGTCATACCGCGCCGCGAACTACGCGCGGGACTCCTGTATGGCACGCATTAGCTTCACGCAAGTCCGACCCGAACCGCTTTTCCCGCTATACCGCGTCTGTGTGGCCTGACTTTGAGGGTGATGGCAGGAAATGCAAAGCCGTTCTTATGAGACGCTATCTTGGTTTGTAGTAGGAATAGGCGTTACAAATCGTATATAGTTCTTACCTTAAACTATATATTGTGGCAATGTCGAATATATTAGAAACTACATATCGATATTGCATCGCGTATTTTATATATATTTTTTAGATTTCACTGAGTGGATATCAACGCGAAACCATTTTTTGTGCGTCTTCGAAATTGTATAGGTACATTGGCCCGCATTGCTCTTGTAAAACTATAATCCAATAATATATAGTTTCGAAATCGGATTTCGAATATTGATATATAGTTTCGATACGATATTCAGAAAAAGCTATATTACCCATTCCTAGTTTTTAGTATATGTATAGCACTTATTTGATTCGCTCTGTGGGAGGGAAAAGTGTCGTTTTTATTTTGACTTTCAATTATTTTGTGAAATCTAGTTTAAAGTGGAATAGGATAGTGCTATTGTGCCTTAATCGAAGATTTAAACGCGAAATTATACGAATCTCGAACTAAAATACCCGTATCGGCCCGTTCTAAGGAATCTCGAGTCAATCCAAGCACGCCGCCTCAAATTGCCTATACTCTTTATGGCGGCCATATTTACAGAAACATAATTAAACGAAGACATGGCTCTAAGGACTTGTATCCAAGCCAAAATTATTAATAAAAAAA